AAATGATTCAAGAAATTTGATTCAATAATCAAAGTTTTTTCTTAAAAGAAATAAATGTAAAAATGTAAGCCCAAAGAAGATTTTTCAAATATATTTATCAAGAAGGCATTCTTCTAATTGTTTATGAATGCATAGTGAAATGGTATTTATAGCAGTTAAAACGTCCAAAGTTTCTGCCCAACCAGACGTTTAAACTAGCCGTTATGCGTCAGAAATCTAAATGGTTAAAATTTTGACCATTGGGCCACCGGACGTCCCCCAGACTCACCGAACGTCCGCCAGAGCAGACATCTTCGATTTACTCTTTTCTTGATTATTTTTGTAAAATATTTTTTTCATACATAAATTGACTTTTGAGCTTTTATTATTTATTATTAAATATCAAAGTATTAGTACATTTATATTTGAACTAACAAGTCTAGTTTTTTATCTTGTTTCGAAGTTTACCTCTTAGATTTCTCGTCTTGATCTTGCTTTGATGATGTCTCTCATGATTTTGATCTTGCTTTTTCTTGACATTTGTCTCTTAAGCTCTCGTCTCGAATGATTTGACTTGAATGCTTAACTTCTACTTTGATCTTCATTTCGAGTCCAATTGATAATGTGTTGATTTTGACAATGCTTGATTAATTTTAACAATGAACTATCATCATTCAAAATCAATTGTTAGAAACAATATTAATCTTGTTTGTTATGATCAAAATATTAAGGATGAAATCTACCATATTTTAACAAAGAGTAGGCTGAACTTTGAATCTTTTCGGAATGGTCAGTCTATAAGAACCTTTACCACTCATTTCGCTATTTCAAATGGACCATCATACTTCGAAACTAATCCTTGATGCAACGTGCTGCTGGAGATTTTCTTCAAAATTTGCAGTGTTAATTTCAACAACTCTTTGTCACCAACCTGAAATTCCAACTCTCTCCGACCTTTGTCTACATATTTTTTCATATTTCAAGATGCTTTTGCTAAATTGTCCTTGGCTTGTTCTAGTACATCCTGTTTGTCTTGGACAAAATGGCATGCTAGAAGGCATGCCAAGCATGTTTCACAACTTCATGGGGGTGTTCTTAGCTGTTGCCCTACTGCCAACACGGTTGGATTCATTCCCACAGACGATGACCGATGGATGTTATTGCAAAATTGAGTTGTGTCCAACAAATCAACCAGTTTTCTGAGTTAATATATCAAAATATCGAAAAAATTCTTCAAGCAGTCCATTCACCCTTCTTGTTTGGGCATCCTTCTGAAGATGAATAGTTGTTGAAAACTTCATTTCCGACCCCATCATATTGAAAAATAACGTCCAAAACTTTCCAGTGAAATGCATATCTCAATCACTTATAATATCATCTGGTAACCCAAAGTACTTAATCACATTTTTGAACATGAGTTCTGCTGCCCGTTCTACCTTGCATTCATGCTGTGCAACAATAAAGATTTCATACTTAGAAAACCGATCCACCACAACAATCATTGATTCCATCTTCCCAACCTTTAAGAACCCACTAATCAAATCCATGGATATTTATTGCCATGGCCTATTCGAGAATGGGACATTATCTTGCGGACAAACGAGGCAAGTTTTCACATGCATTTCTACATCTTCCACTATCTTTGGCCAAAAGTACGACCTGCCCAACAAAGACATCATTCTTTCAACACCCGGATATCCAACCCATTGGGATCTGCGGCATGAGGTACCGTGTACCTGTTCTTTACCACCACCTTGTTCAATGCGTGATAGTCCACACACATGAAACAAAATTGGAGCACCATATGGAGCCTTCGAAGGTTGAATATACCTAGCATTCAACAATTCATTAAGCTGCATTCGAAGTTTTGCCAAGTGGCAGTGGCCATTCTATAGGGAGCCTGAGCATGAGGCTTCCTCCCAGGCTCAAGGGAGGCAACATTTTCAAAAGTTCGATGGCATCATATCCAAAAACTCATCCAACACTACCGTAACAGTATCAGGAACTTCAACAAACTGATCCGATTTGATTTCGATCAAAGCCTCCAAGTATGTGGATTCACCTTTCTTTTACCCACCTTTATATTGTTTGGCTAACTGCAATTCAACCATTTTCTATTTGTCTCCGAGATTATTTTTTTATTGAGGAAAGTTGTAGAGATGAAGCAAGGATCTTCCTTGTCAGCAATAAACATCCTGCGCAAGTAAGGCACAATCGAGGCCCTTAGCCTTCACGAAAAACTCAACACTAAGGATTAACTCAAATTCATCAAGGGGAAGGGCATTCAACCTGCACTGTCTTTCCCAACTCCCCACACAAAGATCACACTGAGATACCCCTTTTATCGGTTGAGCATCTGAATTTACTGCATTTATCCTTGAAGTAGCTAGTGTCAACTTCAAACCTAATCTGTCTACAGTCCTTAAACTCATGAAGTTGTTTGTAGTACCGGTATCTAACATTGCCTTCACAATCTGCCCTTTTATACCAACAGTAACGTATATTAACCCACGAATCTGTCCGTCCGTTTTCTTAAGTAAGCCATTCATGAGTTACAAAAGATTGACTCGTGTGGAAATTTTTGCTTGCGAATCGCTTTCCTCCTCCATCACGAAGATAGTCAATTTCTCATGTTTAGGTTATTCCCGTACAAGGTGCAGCTCATTACAAATTAAAAAACCATTATTTTTGCTTTCCTTTGTTCTGGGACGATTCAACATCCTTCAATTTAGAGTACTCAGAGTTCTAACCATTCTTCTTATCTTGGTATGAACCCGACTTACTTCCCATCTTGTTCCTCATTTATGTTCTTCGTGTAAGAAGAGCCAGTAAGCTTAATATCAGTCAAGCAATCAACCCCGACTATTGCAGATGCCAAATCTTTTACTCGTTGTCATCTCAATTCTGTCCGTGCCCAAGTTTGTAAACTCGAAATGAAGTTGAACAACTTATCTTCCTCGGACATGTTCTCAATATCAAGCAGTAACGACATGAACTCTTTTACGTAGAGTGATTCTGTTACAATCTATGAAGTATTCGTGGGGAAGAATTGATATTTCAATTCCTTGATCGGAGTTTCCCACGCCACAATCCTTGGTCTTCCAACACTTTCATCATCCCGAAGCTTGGTATGCTACCATAGCTTAGCAGTAACAGCAAGATACATACTTACAATACTTACCCGTTCTTCGATATGAATATGGATAGAATTGAAGTTGTTTCGCGCGTTTTCGCTCGCTAACAATTAAAAAGGGAATCAGACGATTGTGTAAGGGACAAACCTCTTGGAACAAAGTCCCAAAAAGGGGTGTTTATTGAATATGAAGATTACAGTTTGGACACGAACAAGATGCCTCCAAGGGGCGCAAGCACACAAGTA